CAAGGACAAGCTAGACTGCGGGGAAGCAAAAGGGTTTGTCCATCGCATACACCTCACTGATGATCATCCCTTCCGGCTCCCCTACTGTTGCGTCCCTCCAGCACACTACCACAAACTGAGAGAAGTCTTGTCTGAGATGGAGTTGAAGGGCATTATCAACAAGTCAGTCAGCGAGTATGCCTCCCCGCTGGTTCTGGTCTGGAAGAAGACAGGTGAATTGAGGACCTGCACTGACTTTCGTTGGCTGAATGCCAAGACAGTCAAAGACGCCCACCCATTGCCCCACCAGGGAGACTGCCTTGTCGCCCTTGGAGGGAATGCCTTTTTCAGCACCATGGATCTCACGTCAGGCTTCTACAATGTCCCCCTCCATGAGTCTGACAAACGGTACACAGCCTTCACAACACCATTGGGCTTATATGAGTACAACAGACTTCCCCAGGGGCTATGCAACAGTCCTGCATCCTTTATGCGGATGATGATGAGTGTTTTTGGTGACTTGAACTTCCCCAGCCTCCTCTGTTATATGGACGACCTGCTGGTTTTTGCTAAATCTGAAGTGGAAGCCCTGAGTCGACTCGAGATGGTCTTCTCACGTCTCAGAGCTAACAATCTGAAGCTGTCTCAGAAGAAGTGCCACTTCCTTCGCAGGTCTGTGCGGTTTCTTGGCCATGTGGTGAGCAGTGATGGTGTCTCAGTCGATCAGGGGAAGGTGGAGGTCATATCTGCTTTCAGGAAAGAGGACCTTATGGACGGTGACGGCTGTACTCCATCTCAGCAGAAGGTCAAATCTTTCTTTGGGATGGCACTGTACTACCAGCATTTACCCAAATGACCCCAGAGGTGGTTCTTTTTTTCTAAACCTCTCTAAAAAGGTCAAATTTAACTTGTTTTGCATCAATCTTGATACAGGGTACTTATGTTATAAAAGCTTTTAGTCTACTATTCCATCATTCAAGGGTGGTTTTCACTATAAGTAATGGGTTTTTTTTTTGGACGGAAACTATAATTTAATCTTTTTTACTATGTTCAATCTGAATTTACTTTAAAATAAAAACATCTATATTGATTCATACTTTTCTACATCCAACTCACAGGTTTATCATTGCTTTGAGAAAAAAGATTAGGCTGTAGTGCAGCCTCTTATCAAAAAACAGAACCTTGATCATTCTGTTCTCTCCAACTTTAGACCTATTTCTAAGCTGCCCTTCCTCTCTAAAGTCCTAGAGAAAGTGGTGTTAGCGCAACTGCAGTTGCACCTTGTTTTAAACTGCATATCAGAGAAGTTTCAGTCTGGTTTTAAATCACGCCACAGCACAGAAACTGCTCTCCTAAGAGTCTTTAATGATCTTCTTTTAACTGCTGATTCTGTGAATTCTGCTGTGCTTGTGCTTTTAGATTTGTCTGCTGCTTTTGACACCATTGACCACCAAATTATTTTATCACGCCATGAACTGTGTGTTGGAATTAAAGGTAATGTCCTAAAATGGTTTCAATCCTATCTGTCAGAAAGGACCTTTTCTGTGCATCTTGGCCAGTATTCTTCAGCTGCAGCCCCACTAGCATATGGGGTCCCTCAAGGTTTTATCCTGGGCCCCATTTTGTTCAGTCTGTATTTACTACCTCTGGGGTCAATTTTTAAAAAGCATAATATTTCTTACCATTGCTTTGCAGATGATCTGCAGGTATACCTGCCTATAAAAGCAAATAAGGAATATAGGATTGCCTTGCTTAGCTGTCTGAAAGACATAAAATCATTGATGGAAATCAACTTCTTGACTCTCAACGAAAACAAGACAGAGATTATAATATTTGGACAGTCTGAACTCCTGGATGGCTTTAATAGTGTACTCGGCCCCTTAGCCTCCTACAGCCGTCCCTCTGTCAGAAATATTGGAGTCATCTTTGACAACTGTTTTAAATTCGACAAACAAATAAGCTCAGTTGTCAAGACAAGCTTCTTCCAGCTGCGGCTTCTGGGGAAGGTAAAGGCTTATCTTCCTAGTAAGGAATTTGAAGAGCTAATCCACCTATTTATAACGTCTCGTTTAGACTATTGTAACTCCCTGTATATTGGTGTTGATAAGTGTTTGATCAGTCGCCTGCAGCTGGTCCAAAATGTGGCTGCACGCCTTCTTACTGGGAAGAGACGTTATGACCACATCACACCCGTTTTGGCAGACCTTCATTGGCTTCCTGTCAGTTACAGGATCCAGTTCAAGTACTTAATTGTTGTTTTTAAATCATTGCATGGACTGGCACCACATTACCTGTCTGAGTTGTTGCACCGCCATGCTCCAGCTAGAGCACTGCGATCAGCTCAGCAAAAATATGTTGGTGGTTCCTCGGTGCAGGAAAAAAACCCGAGGTGACAGGGCTTTCAGTGTTGCAGCTCCCAGACTGTGGAACAGCCTCCCAGTACATATCCGGACTGCTGAGTCTATTTAACTTTTTAAATCTCAGCTAAAAACTCACCTCTTTGCACTGGCTTTTAATACTAGTTGAACATTACATTTTTACATTTGTATGTGTTTTTTTTAAATATGTTTCTAGTTATTGTGCTTTTTATCATGTTTTTAATTATTGTTTTATTAGTGTTATTTAATATTGTAGTTATTGCCTGTACAGCACTTTGGTCAACTGAAGGTTGTTTTAAATGTGCTATATAAATAAATAAAGATTGAGATTGAGATAATTTACCACTTTTAGAAGTGAAGATATAGTCATATGTTCTGGGAATGTCATTTTCGAGTCTGAGACCTGAAAAACAGGCTTGGGGCTTAACAGGTTAACAGTTACCTCATTGTGAGCTGGAGTCCTTCACTGGGAACAAACCAGGTCAAACAAACTGAGTTAAAAAGTATATTTTTCATTAAAATTAAAGTTTGAGTGATACATTTCATCCAGCAGTCAGCAGCCCTAAAACAAGGGAATGACATGTTTATAATGTGCTGAAAAACACAAAAAATATGCAGGGATGTGAGTCTGTTTCTAAGGCCTTTTTTATTTTTGGTAAATTCTGACAATTTAAACAAAAGAGAACAGAATCAAACTGAAAACATCAGGAATATTTCATTTCATTTCAAACTTTTATTTAACCAGATTGGTCCCATTGAGATCATAGATCTCTTTTTCAAGGGAGACCTGCAGCACATAGGTTCCACATGAAACATAAAACAATAAAGGACATCATACATTATATTTACAGGATACATTTACATAGTTATAGACATTTACAAGTATCCATAGTATCAACAAGCATCTCATTTAGCCTAGCTTTAAAAACATGCAGAGGATTGCTCAGTTTCAATTCTTGCTGAAGATTGTTCTAAGCAAGTGGAGCTGTGCACATAAAAGCTGTCTTACCTAAGACAGTCCTTGCTCTTGGCACATCTAACAATATTTTCTAGATACATTCATCATTGGTTCTTTTTTTTTTTAGACCAGAACAGACTGCCAACTCAACAGGAACTATCAAAACATCCTAATCAAAGTTTAAGTCACAACATTTTATTAACCAAACAGTGGAACATAGGGAAACCTATGAGGGCGCTGTAGGACACAGGTGTGTAATGTACATTTTGAGGATGGAAGGTCAATAGGCGGCGCTAGGGGGTGCTACAGGTCCCCCTAAGATAGCCATCGCACCCACTAAGCACCCCCAAGAAATGTATGTATTTCTTTTTTGTATGTGTGAAATTCATAATTTGAAAGATTATTGATTCAAAAATAACATGCTACAGTACATTACAAGAACGTCTGGGTCTCTGTGATTTATTCAAGCTCGGCTCTGTGTGTGTGTGGAACGAGCCATTTTTTGTGCGTGCGCGCGCGAGAGAAAGAGTGTGCACCGGTACCGGAGATTGTTGTTGTTAGCATCTGGTGCTAGCTAGCTACGCTAACGGATATAAGGAGCTTTTTCAACAACAAGGTGGAGGGAGAACTCTCACCTGTCAGACTGAGAGGCTCAGATAACCTCAGTTTAGTGAGGTAAAGGACTCTCAGTGTTTAGATTACTCACTGAGATTAGTTATCTCAGTGGGTCTCAAACGGTTTGGTCACGATTAATGTAAACAATTATTTTCGAGGCACACGTTTATATGATCATTATAGGTATACAAAAATAAGAGAATAAATGAAAAACAGTTATGCAATACTATATGACAGTAAAACAAGAATACAGTTTAAAAGGGGAGTGATTAGTAAATATCCATAAAGAAAAATAAAATCTGTTTACAGTTCTGTTTCATATGGGTGTTGAGAGATGTATCCATAGATCTCTTCATTTTGCTCTCAAAGTGCACCAGATTGAGGCATTTAACTTCAATATTTAACTCCCACTCCCCACTTATAAAAATAGCACTTTACCCCTGCTTACACCTATATGCCGTGAGTTGATTATTGAGCCTTCATTTTAACAGTCGCGGATACACTGTGTATGTGCGTGGGGAGTGTTGCAGTACACAATTCCACTGTAGCGACCGGTACATTAATGGGAAACCCTAAATGTTTGAGCACCCTCTATGAAACATCAAGCTACCCCACAGCACCCCCAAAAGAAAATCTCTGGCGCCGCCACTGAGCCTGCAATCCCGTTTTGAAGAAATGTGCTGTGCAAAACAGGCTCATTGCAGCCACTAATGCTGTGATAAGACACTTTTCTGCCAAATATCAGCATTTTCTTTCTTTACATTATTTTGCACAGATTGCAAAGTGGCAAAGTATAACTTATTGTTCTTGCAAAGGGATTGCACAATTATATTATGTATTTATTTTTTTGAGCACACAGACTTCTGGAGAATTGTTTTATTATCACTGTTCTAACAAAGTGATAAAGGAATGCTCACGTTAATATTGATGTATTTTAATAAATGTTGACTTGGCCCACTTCGTGACTATTTGTGTTGGGGGGGCCCGAATTTTTTTTTCCTCCAAAGGGGGGCCTGACGGAAAAAGTTTGAGAACCACTGGTTTAGGGAGAAAACAGCATCTCTTCACACCAGTACGGTATCTCTCCAGTGTGAACACGTTGATGTGTTTTGAGAGCACCTAATGTTGTGAACGTTTTCCCACACTCTTCACAGCTGTACGGTTTCTCTCCTGTGTGAATACGTTGATGGATTTGGAGATTACTTGATTTAGTGAATGTTTTACCACACTCTTCACACCAGTACGGTTTTTCTCCTGTGTGAATACGTTGATGTATTTTGAGAGAACCTGATTGATTGAAAGGTTTCCCACACACTTCACAGCTGTACGGTTTTTCTCCTGTGTGAATACGTTGATGGATTATGAGAAGACTTGATTGAATGAACGTTTTCCCACACTCTTCACAGCTGTATGTTTTTTCTCCAGTGTGACCACGCTGATGGATTTTGAGAAGACTTGATGTAGTGAACGTTTGCCCACACTCTTCACAGCTGTACGGTTTCTCTCCTGTGTGAATGCGTTGATGGTTTATGAGAGAAACTGATCTCACAAACGTTTTGCAACACTCTGCACAGCTGTACGGTTTTTCTCCAGTATGAATAAGCAGGTGGCGTTTTAAATTTCCAGATTTTGTAAAGGATTCATCACATTGCTGACAGCTGTGACGTCTCTCTCTTCCTTTCGGTTTCTAAAACAGACGGACAGAGAAAGAGAGAAAGTAAATCTAAAAAACATAAATACATATACAGTTAACACAATAAAAACTCACTTAATACAAACTTTCAGTTAAAAAAAAAAAATACTACTTTTACTAACTGTTTATGTTTATTATATTACAGCAACATTCTAACAGTATATAACAGAGGTGGGGGACTCGAGTCACATATTTTTTTACTTGAGACTTGCTTGAATAACATTGATAAAAGACTCAACTTGACTTTGACTTGGTATTCATGACTTCAGACTTGACTTAGGCTTGAGACAGATCACTCGAAAGGATAAAATATTTGCATTTGTATTGTATTGTATTGTATTGTACGAAGCCCCTAAAAGGGAAATGAATAAATGAGAGAGAAAGTATCTTGTTCGCACGAGAAAGTTCCCGGTGCGCCAAGTAAGAAGTGGAGCGCACAGGAGACAACCGTTTCATTGCAGACTGTTATGTGTATGTGGGGAAATGGCAGTGCATACATTATTTGAAATATATTTCGAACTCGGACTTAATTTTAGGGACATTTCGGCCAGGGATGTAGAGCTATTTGTTAAGCTTAACCTGTTAAGCCCTGAGCCTGTTTTTCAGGCCTCAGGCTCGAAAATGACAAGCACAGAACAAATGACTATATCTTCACTTCTAAAAGGGGTACATTAATAATCTTTTTTTCTCAAAGCAATGATACACCTGTGAGTTGGATGTAGAAGTGTCTGAATCGATATAGATGATTTTATTTTAAAGTAAATTCAGATTTAACATAGTAAAAAAATGTAAATTATAGTGTCCGTCCAAAAATTATTTTTTACAGATAGTGAAAACTACCCTTGGATGATGGGTTAGTAGACTAAAAGCTATAGGAATCCAAAGTACAACATATAATAAGTACCCTGTATCAAGATTGATGCAAAACAAGTGACATTTGACCTTTTTAGAGAGGTTTAGCCAAAACCACCCCACCTCTGAGGTGATTTGGGTGAAAATGTTTTTTTTTCCATATCTCTGGCCCCCCTTGGTCGATTTGGATGGTTGACACCTCTTTCTGACCGTTAGAGCCAATAGAATCGAAGGGGGAGGCCCCCACACACACACGTTGTGAAGAGAAAAGGTGGGGGCTGCGCGCATGTAATTTTGCGTCAGAGTGGACCTATCTCTAGCTCTGACATTTGGAAACGAAAAAAGCAGTTTTATTGCTTATGGATTATCAGAAATCATTTCAAAGAGGACACAGACACATTGGATTAACCTATGGATTAACTGCAGCATCGTTTTTTTTATCGTTTTAATGCCATTGAAGACCAGTTTTGACCAAGGTAAGCCATGTTAGCGTTTCTAGCTACTTAGCTCCACATGTTATGATGTACGCTTTTGTTTATAGCGTCGCAAATGTTTATCACTGAGTGTTGAAGTGGGCACCACTAGATTCTGTGTCTCCAGAATTTTTTCGCTCGTGGCTAATTCAGAGGCTGAGTGTTAGCATTGTGGGTTTTTTTTGGAGAAACATTTTTAAAAAGATCAGTTAGCTGAGTTTCTTCCCGTTACATGGATATAAAACATTCATAGTTTATTAAATATTAAGATTCCTTAGACGTTGTTTCCTGCAAATGACGCGTTTATCCGCCCAGTACCGGGGGGGGCGGTGCGTAACAGGTTAAGCGCTTTGGTCTTGATGACTACTTTCTTAAATGGATTAAAATTATATTTTTTGATTCGTCCGCATTATTATTAACCAATAATTGTATTTCACAACCATTTATACTCTTTCGCGGCACGAGACAAGGCTCTCATATTTCGCCTCTACTTTTTGTGATAGCTATTATATGGAGCCATTGGCAATAGCCATACGATCACACCCTTTGATTTATGGTATTAAGACAGGGCACCTAGAGCATCATATAGCATTGTATGCAGATGATGCCATAGTGTTTTGATCAGGTCTTGCAAAATCCCTCTTAAAAGTAATCAATCAATTTGGTAAAATCTCTGGTTTTAAGGTGAACAAAGATAAATCCTCTATTATGTTTCTCAATGAACAGGAGGGAAGAAATCCAAAATTATCTTTCCCATTTGTAAATGCCATAGACGGTTTTGCTTATCTGGGTATTAAAATTACACCAAAGATAGACATTCTCAGTGCATCTAATTACGAACCCTTGTTAGCTTAAGTGTCAGAAGATTCCACTAGGTGGACAACATTGCCTCTGTCCTTAGTGGAAAGAATTAATATAATTAAGATGAGTATATTGCCAAAATGTTTATATCTTTTTCAATCAATCCCACTAGCACCTCCTCCTCCATTTTCTCTAAAATAAGAAAGCTACTTTCTAAATGTATTTGGAATAACAGGAAGCCGAGACTTAGACTCTCTCTGTTGTATTTACCTTACGATAGGGGAGGGTTACAACTACCAACATTTAATGTTTTGGTTTTAAAGAGGAGTTGATTTGCCATGGTTACGAGTTGAGTTGTTGTCTTCAAAGGGTTTGATGCTGGATATCTTTCTATTCTCTGCTCCTTCTAAAAATCTAAGGAAAAAAACAATGAATCCCTTTGTGAAAAATAAAATGTTTGTCTGGCATGAAGCACATACATATATAGGAGACTCCCCAATGTTGTCTTGTTTCTCACCTATTTGGGGCATTGAACTCTTCAGCCAAGGTAAAAATGACATGGGCTTCCAAACATGATTAAGTAAGGGTATTGTAAGGCTACTAGATTTATATGAGGACAGCAACCTAATGTCGTTTGACGAGCTGAAAACAAAGTATTTCCTGCCACAGAAACACTTTTTCAAGTACCTGCAAGTTAGGAGTTTTATATTGGCAAACTTAAACAACTTGTTGCAACAACCTCCTACGTCCACAGTAGAGATACTGTCTATAAAAAACTGTAACAGCAAAGGACTGGTTACTCAATTTTATAACATAATGGTTGCAAACCATAAAGACAACTCAGAAAGTAAAAGACGTATTAAAGGATATTTCAGAGGATATTTCAGAGGATGATTGGGGTACAATTTGTTCAAAGGCACACTATTAATACACGTCTTAGATTAATACAATATAATTGGATAACAAGAACTTACATCACCCTTGTGATGTTTAACCCTAACATTCCTGATCTATGTTATAAATGCAAGATCCATCAAGGTATCATTGCTTGAGGGATTGTGTAGAGGTTAAAATATTTTGGACTTCGGTGACAAGATACATTTCCCAAATAACCTCGTTGCGAACCCCTTTAAGCCCTAAACTTTGTATTTTAAGCATTTATCCAGAAGACTGTTCACTATCGGTTAGGGAAAGAAAAATGGTTAACCTATGCCTTCTACAAGCCAGGCGCTCAATTGCTTTGTGTTGGAAAAATGTTGGTTGCCCCTCCCTGGGCCACAGGTTAAACAATTTAACTTTGAGTCTGGCTCTTGAGAAACTCACATATATACTAAGGAAGAAAGCTTCTGAATTTTACACCATTTGGGAATTGTTTTTGGAATTTATAAAAAGTGGGGACATTGCAGAAGTGATGGAAGGTTAAAGTGAAATGACTAAACTACTACTACTACTGAGGACATTTTGAAATTGGTTAATCTATTTGGAGAATTGTAAGCTACTCTGCTCGGTTTGTGGATGTGCTTTTATTGTATTTTTGTTGAATTTGCTAATATTCTTGGTCTGTACTTTAAACTGATGATTCTAGTATCTGCACACTTTAAAAAAAAAAAGTGCATTATTTTTTAATCTGCCATATGTCTAATGTTGGGGAATGTTCAGTTGTGTTTGCGTAATGTGATAAATGTTAGAACATTACTAAGTAGTAATGTTCTAACCTATATCCAACCATATTGTGCATTAATATTGTATTTTCTAAACAGGTTGTGATCTTTCATTTGGGGATAACAGTGTTAGGAATATATTGTGATGAAGTGCACACTGACCTGAGCTCCAGGGGTCTTTTTGTTCTCCTCCATGCTGCTCTCAGAGCTCCTTCTCCGGCTGTGTCTCTGAAATAATCAACACAACTACAGCTGACACAAAACAAGATAACTCAATACAACCGACAGACACAACAAAATAAATCTACAGCTACTTCTTAGGTTAATGGCAGAGGCGAGAAGTAACTAAGTGATTTACTCAAGTACTGTACTTAAGTACTATTTAGAGGTAAAACTTCGATAAAACCAACGTTAATATCTAGGTCGTCTCCGATACCGAGCTCCGATGCTGATAAGGCTCCGGAAAACGGCCGTCCTACCTTTAGGACTAAACCCCCAGAATCTAAGTGCAAGATTACCATAATCTGTTTAGGGGGACAGCTAACAGTAGGGCATGTACCGAATACCCTTTTTCAAGCTCCGGATATTCGGTAGTAATCAGCAGCTAATATTCGGCGCGCGCAGCGCGGGGGAGGAGGTTTATACAAGGCATTCATTTTGTGCACTTGTTTTATAGTTATTTGTTAATGTAAATAACCCAATTTGTGTTCTTTTAAATTGAAAAGGATATTGCATGGTGTTTGTTACTTTCGTTGCAGTTGTATACATGTCTTAAGTGTAATTTGGCTTGTCTTCCTATTTTGTATGGACATGCTTTTATTTTGAAGGAGAGTTAGCGCTGTTGACAGGAAGAGGTTGTTGCTATGGAAACAACGTGACGGAGAAAAGTAGAGGAGATTAACGGAGAAAAGTTATATCTACATATAAAGACGGAGAAAGTAAACTATAAAGTTTATGGTTAAGTGTTAGCACCCCCCGAAGAGGCAAAAGCTCTTACGTTGATATTGGAGATGTCAATCAATTCAATTTAGGTTTAAGTATAAGACACTTCCTCCTGTG